AGCGGGTCCACAGCCGGGTACGCCTGGTGGTTGGTGTGCGGCACGACGCCGCCGACCACCGGCCGTTGCGTCGAGTTCATGCGCAGCGTGTACTCGACCGACCCGACACTACCGGGCGCCGGCGCCGAATCAAACACAATCGCCGCGTAGATGAACGGATTCGCGCGCGACGACCCATAGTCCGAGCCTACCTCTGGAGTTTAGTCTCAATGTATCACCGAGACATCCTGGAAATGTACCGGAAATGTACGACTGGAGAGCGTCCGCCGTGTCGAAATACATGACCGAGTCGGCAAACGACGGCACTGCGAGCGCATCGGCGAAGCCCGGAAGAGTGCGGTTCATGAGCGCGACGCGGGGGTACCACTGCGCCATGAGCCCGCCAAAGTACTTGGTCGTGTACTCATTTTTCGGCGCGATCGCAATCTTGCGAGGAATCAAGCCCACTGCGCACAGTCGTGAGCGATACGTTGATGTGCAATAGTATGTGATTCGTACCCGGACAGCTGGTGGGCACGGCATGCGGCGACGTCGGGTCGACGTTGACGTAGCCCATGTAGGTGAACTGGACCTTGCACGACGCCGGCGACGCGCTGCGATCGTCCGCGCCCAGCGTGTCATAGGCCATGGACGAGAGTCTAGCCGCAAAGAATTGGTGAGAGACTTGTCGTGTACATGGAGGCCACGTACCCGAGGAGAAGCCCGGACATGGACGGCTCGGACGCGATAAAGACACCGGCCGGACTGGGCGCGGCGCCAAACGACGACGAGGCGCTGGGGTTGACCATGGTCACGGGGACAGCGGTCGTGCTCAGCTGCCACCCACTTGGGATCGTCTCGTTGTCCGTGAGCGTCTTGAAGTAGGCGAAGAGGAGCACAAAGAGCGTCGGGACCGGCAATCTCGATGAGCGTCGTGATCCAATGGCGTTGCTTGATGATGCGGTTCTTCCAGAGCAGCGTCAAGATGTGGTGCATCATGCTGCGCTTCTTCTGCATGGCGCTGGGACTTGAAGAGTTTGTTTTTGGCGGGTGTACTTGCGAGCGTCAAACTGCAAGTGAGCGTCGGGGACCGGCACCTGAGCTTAAATTAAGACGTGCGACACAGAGTTGGATTGCTGCCATGGGATGCCACCGAATATGCGATACATTGATTCTATTTGTGACCGATAGCATTGGATTGGGCAAAGTGGGGCCGTTGGTAGGATTGCTGTCGTCGGCTCGGGTCGAAATCACACTTGACATTGCTTATCGACGGCGCGTCTACTTTCTCAAATAAGAGCGGCAGTCAGACAGCGCCGATTCCTTTGCGAGAACCGCGCACGGCGCAAGCGAGGGCTTGTCTTGCTCTTCTGTAGCTGCCCGAGGGCGCTTGCGGCCACGAGTGAGCGCTGTGACGACAAGCTCCGTAGAGTTCTTTCAGGCGTCGCGATCGGCGCCACAGCTACGTAGTGTATTGACGTCCGCGATAGATGCCAACGACCGATACGACGTGAGCGGCTGGAGGTTGTGGCGCAGGACAATCGGTAACGTAAGCTTGTAGCTGCCAAAAAAGAGTAAGGCGCCTCGGGGAAGAAACGGGCAGTGACATCGTTTTTGATCGACTCGGTAGCTCGTCATGCGGCGCTTGTAGGGCCTGCGCCATGTCTACAGAGACGTCGTCTGAGCGCGTCTATGTAGACTAGCATAGGTAGAGACGTAGAGACGTACGGCTTGGCAAAAGCCTCGAGCCGCCTGCACAGAAGGTTGGCCATGGTGCCGGTCACGCAGTGCCGCCGGTCTGGGAGAGAAAGATCAAGCGTGAGGCCAACCAGTGCTGGAAAATATGAGCCTGCGAGCGCTTGCACGAGCGGCCAGTAACACGAGGCTACCATTGTACGACGCGTGCATGGGCCTCCTGGTCGAGGAGCTCTGGAGCGTCGCAGCGTGGACGTGGTCGACGGCGCCGTGCTCGTGGCCACGAGCGGTAGGCTGAACGAGGAGGTTGGGAAGAAGGCGCGTACCATCGATGCGCTCAGTGGCAGCGGCCAAGACGTGAGGCGCAGGGTCGCAGCATGGCGGGCTCTCATCTGAAGCACCTCACGCAGATTGATGCTGCTGGCGACCATACGAACCCCTCGCCCGCTGCGAATCTTTCGCCGAACGATCCGCTTTCTGCTTCAATTAGCAAGCGATCGAGACAGCTCGCTCTTAACGCTCACGTAGGCAGTGCCGTCGTCATGGTGCTGAGCCTTCCGCCTTTGCTCCACCACGCCGCGGAAGACTGGACACCACTTCTGGCAGCAATTGCCAGCCTGAGCGTCGCGATGTCAAATATTTTCTTGAGCCGATTGCATACAGTACACGCCCAAGCGCGAGACGAAAAGACCGGCGCCAGCTCGCGCGTCCGGTAGAAAATCTAGAAGTCCTCGGTACGATTGCGTTAAACGTCAGCCATTTGGGCCCGGCCGACGCTCCCGCCTACTCTCTGGTCGCGAACAGCCTCCCGACCCTCGCCGTGCACGACTTTTCACAGGCCGTGCCGCTCCTCCAGTACTGGGTGCTCGACATACCTGTGCTAGCCACGCCCGCGCTCGGCAGTGCCCAGTGCAGCTCCTGAGGCTGCCAAAGGATTCTCGAGGCACGGCCGAAAAAGGCCATCGACGGCTCTAGCATGGACGGGCTCTGCAGCATGATCCAAAAGCACGAATATGGAATAACGGGCGACATGTTCAAGGAGGTCATAAGCTGCGCTTACTTTGACCAGTTCAAGTGCCTCATGCTACAGGGCACCATACGACGCTTTTCCAGAGTGCGTTGATGGATGCTTGGTCGTATACCTAGCGGCTCGTTTAATCCACGGCGATGTCTCGCAAACGATTCGTGTGGAATGGCCGCTCTGGTTTAGCCTCGTCTAAACCGACCCGAAAGTATCGAGAGTGCTACATTTTAATTGCACCACAAACGAGGCTTAGAGGCGCCTGCTATTCATCTGCTACTCGGTTTTTGGTCATAGTGCTAGAGCTCAATGGATAGTGTATTGTCTATACGTGTTTTTGGGAACGAATTTGCTATTGGCGACGATAAGGCTGAATTGATAGTTCACAGCCATATTAGTAATCCAATTACCTAACAGTATATCAGGCCGATGGATGTTAAATAGTGTGGGATCCACCACTACTACTACGATCGACGCCGCACAGACGCGTTAACGCGAGGCTGCACCGGTTCCTGCTGTTCTATAGCATCCTGGTATCATGGAGATGAAGGTTTGGACGCCGAACGCAGCGCATGCATGCGAATTCCAAAGCTGATTTTTCGAGGTGGTC